CAAAGCAGAACAAAAATGCTTCCACAGCGAGGGTAAACAGTGTACTGTGCCAACTAGGTAATTTACTCATTATTATTATTATTATTATTATTATTATTATTACTATTGTATTATTATTAATTTAGGGAACTGGAGCACAGATCCAATTCCCTAGATCAAGAGCCCTTCACCAATGTCAGGGAACCTTGATGCTGGTAAGGGGCTCTTGATATAGGGAATTGGATCTGGGCTCCAGTTCCCTAGATTAATAATAATAATAATAATAAGAGGAGCTTCAGAGCACCATCATTAGTTGGCACAGCCAGTGCACTGTTTACCTCGCTCTGGAAGGAATTCTCTCTTACTTGCTTGCATTGTTTTAGTCATTTGGCCAAATTTCTTTTTTCTAACCATGGGTCCTAAGAAAATAAGTGTAAAGGACAGCACTGAGAAGAAAAAGAGGATGATTTCCATGGAATTAAAGCATGAAATCATAGATAAACAAGCGAGGTGTGCGGGTTGTGAGTTGAGTGGGAAGCAGGGGAAGCTGGCTCATAACTTGGATGTTGGCCCGTAACTCAGAGCAAAAAATCGACCAAGCGACAGCTCGTATCTTGAAAAACTTGTATGTTGGGACACACGTAAGTTGAGGTTCACTGTACATCCTGAGTACACACATTACTATCATAGGTGAATTATTCTATGTAAATCATGTTTGGAATAAAATAGCATGTTTTCAAATGATTGTTAATAACTTGTCTCTCACCTTGTTGTCTATCAAATTTTTTGAGATGAGATCAGTGTTTTGGCCCTCCAGCCCTGGGCTCATTGAATTTTTGCTAGGTTCAGGTCTATTTTTTTCAGTAAAGCTTATAGATTTTTTTACAGTTTAATCTTCTGGAGTGATCATCTTCCTATAGTGAAATTTTGGCCAGCTTATCTTAAATATCCTCTCCAAGATACGATACTACGTGCCGCAAACTGCCCTTCTCACACTATACCATTCACTTATATATCCATACCTCACCTATGCTATCTGTGCTTGGGGTTCAACTGCAGCAACACACCTAAAGCCAATAACCCAACAAAAAGCCGCAGTAAGAATAATCACTAAATCCCATCCCTGGCAACACACCCCCCCACTCTTCATAGATCTAAACTTACTCCCTGTTCAGAACATCCACACTTACTACTGTGCAATCTACATCTACAGGACCTTAAATTCCAATATTAACCTTGACCTAAAACGCTTTCTTGATAGTTGCGACAGAACCCACAGGCACAACACCAGACACAAACATCTCTATGACATTCCCCGTGTCCGACTAAACCTTTACAAAAATTCAATGTATGTCAAAAGCCCTAAAATCTGGAACACCCTACCTGAAAATTCTAAAACTGCAGACACATTCATCACCTTCAAAACTACCATCAGAAAACATCTTATCTCCCTGATACACCCTGTCAACTAATTACACGAATACCACCTGGTGGTTAACACTTACACTCACTCACCCATTTGACCATAAACAGAAATATCAATCTCAATCTCAAAATAATGAATCTTAACTAGTCATAAGTTGGCCTGTGATACTCCAATACTGAAACTATGTATAGTGCCAAAACAAAAGCATTTACATTGCTAAACTCACAAACTAGTATTTAGTCACTTAGCCATAATACCAACTTACCTCATAATTTTGTAATATTTTAAACTTAAGATTTAATTTAAGTCTGCCCGAAATGCCTAGCCATGCTAGGTGTTCTAGTGGTACACTCTGTAATTATTATTTTACTACATGTAAACCACACAATAACCAAATTCTGTAAACTCAGCATTGTAATCCTTATAGAGAATAAACTTTGAATTTGAATTTGAATTGAATTGTGATAATAGAGAATCAAGCTACTCGACTACTCATGCAGATTGTACTGTACATGTTATTTCTCTTAACTTATAGCTAGATTTAACTACACCTACCATCCGACTTACGACCTGCTCAACTTACGACCACTCGACTTACGACCGTGTTTTTTATGCCAAATTTCTGGGAAATAAACAACTATTTGTGTTGTACACAGTGTTTATCCTAAACCTTACAGTATAAAATATAGTACATGTACTAACAACATAAAAAGTAAAGTAAAACATGAAATACCAAAATAAAACAATAAAATAAAGGTCATTACAAAAATGTTTTGTTGATATTCAGTAGTAAAGTTCGACTTATGACCATTTCGACTTACGACCGGTTTCTCGGAACTGAACTCAGTCGTAAGTCGGATGGTAGGTGTATTTAGACTAAATGTGAATGATAAATTGTGATACGTATTTTAGTATGAAAAACATTCACACTAATATTGATACTGCATATATTTTATTCTCAGTTACTGTAATATTACCCATATCTTAATATAATGACCCATTATGGTGGTTGAGCAATACCAGTCATGTGTTAGTATCATGATAAAATGTATAGTGGTTATGACAAATATTAATTTTGAAAATTGATTATTAATTTTTAAACTTTGCCGACATCAGAGTGTAATGTTATGCCTAGGGTAAACCAGGAGCACTGATAGTCCTAGGAAATATTCAACAGAATCTGTTGGTAATTTTTTGTTTTAACATATATCGAAGAGCAGCCTCCTTAACCCTTTCAGGGTTTCGGCCGTACTAGTACGGCTTACACACCAAGGTTTTTGATGTACTAGTACGCCTAAATTCTAGAGCCCTTGAATCTAGTGAGTGAAAGCTGGTAGGCCTACATATGAAAGAATGGGTCTATGTGGTCAGTGTGTGCAATATAAAAAAAATCCTGCAGCACACAGTGCGTAATGAGAAAAAAACTTAGACTGTGTTTTTGGATTAAAACAGCGACTTTCCACTGTATTTTTGTATGGTATTTATTGTTGTATTCTAGTTTTCCTGGTCTCATTGTATAGAATGAAAGACATATTACAGAAATTTAGATGATTTTGAATGATTTTACAGTGAAAAGTACCTTGAAATTGAGCTCAAAATAGCAGAAATGTTTGATTTTTACCAAAGTTCAAAAGTAAGCAGATCATGCTAAGCATCCAATGCACGTCAACTGGTGAGTCTGATATTCTTTCACAAGTGCGCCGATATTATTTATACCATTTTTTACACTAATGCAGTAGTCTGCATAACAGTAAATCTTTTATTTTTTGTGAGAATAAAAATTCAAAGTGGAAAGCAAAAGAATGTAAGAGGGGCGTTGGGATGTGACTAATGAACAGAGGAAATGTCATTTTAGTGCCAGGAATGTCTTTCTTGTTTATTCTGGACCCTATTTGGAAACTGGCATCTTTTGAAATTTGTGTGAAATTGGCAAAATTGCTAAATTCTGACCACCATATTGGATAGTTGAAATCGGTAAATGGGTGATTTCTTGCACTCATTCGATAGAAAAAAATGGAGTTCTAGTGAAATAGTTATGATTTTTGTCGACTAGTACAGTGGAATTAGCCGAAAATAGGGCTCAAAGTGGGCAAAATCATCGATGCGTAAACATCGTCGAGAGCGCTAACTTCGCAAGAGCATAATTCCGTAAGTTTTCCATCAAATTTCATACTTTTGGTGTCATTATGATCGAGAAAAGATTCTCTATCTTTTCATAAGAAAAAATATTTTTTTTTTTTTTTTTAAATTTGGGTGACCCTGAGAACAAGTTTCTGAGAGGGCCTGTGGACCCTGAAAGGGTTAATTCAGTTATTTCTGTTTTGCTGTATATGAGATGAGGTTATATTGTTCTCTTAGAAGATACTTATTCTCTCTTATGTCAACCTAGGATAAAAATGTGTTGAAGAAAAGTTAATTAAATTAACATTTAATACATACGTATTGTATACTGTGTTGTGTACGAATGGTATATAATACCGACAAGATGAGATTAAGACACATGTGCAACATCTGGGTATCTTTATTGTAGACGTTTCGCCATCCAGTGGCTTTATCAATACAAATTCTAGGACATAACTTGAAGACAGTAGAACTATGTACAGAAGATGAGGTAATCAGTCCCTCAACCTAGGAGTAGGTGCGAAGAGCACCATAGTCGTGGAGATTCTGAAGCAGAAGAAAGGAGCCTGGCGCTTATATAGTAACGTCAGATGTAGCAGACGAGGGCATATTCACTGGTAGGCAGGATTCCCCAGTGGAAGTAGGTCCTTCCCAAAGAGATGGGTTAGTTGTAGTAGTAGTTGTTGTAGTCGTGAAGGTTATGTACATGTCCTCAGAATTAAGATTCCATGATGTTGCAGTGTCTGACAAGTTGTGTACGTACACAACTTGTCAGACACTGCAACATCATGGAATCTTAATTCTGAGGACATGTACATAACCTTCACGACTACAACAACTACTACTACAACTAACCCATCTCTTTGGGAAGGACCTACTTCCACTGGGGAATCCCGCCTACCAGTGAATATGCCCTCGTCTGCTACACCTGACGTTACTATATAAGCGCCAGGCTCCTTTCTTCTGCTTCAGAATCTCCACGACTATGGTGCTCTTCGCACCTACTCCTAGGTTGAGGGACTGATTACCTCATCTTCTGTACATAGTTCTACTGTCTTCAAGATATGTCCTAGAATTTGTATTGATAAAGCCACTGGATGGCGAAACGTCTACAATAAAGATACCCAGATGTTGCACATGTGTCTTAATCTCATCATTGTATACTGTACATATGCCATAGCTAAGGCAGTCTTAAAGTTCTCTCTTATATTAAAAAAAAATCCCAAAATGTCAAAATTGTATTCTCATTTTATGCAAAACTTTAAACCCTCTGATTACCCAGTACTTCATAAAAAAAATGTTCTTAATTTTTTCTGATGAAATTTGCAAGGCATTTTCTTATTTCTTGCAAGCTTTTTTTTTTTTTTAAGTATATGCATGTGTTAAACAAATAACAGAGACCATTTCTGAATAATTTCATAATAATCTGCAGGGCATGGATTTACTAGAATCCTTACTGGTTTTACTTCTACAGAAAACTTAAGGAAGTTCTTCATCGCAGTGACAGAGCAATGATCTATGTGTTCATTGCAACATCGTATACCCCATGGCTCCTGCTTCGCCCTCTACCTCAAGACTCGTGGACTTTTCATCTCAGGTTTGTTTTAGGTCGACTCACAGGCAACAGATGACTTGGGACAGCTACCAGGAAATCAAACTATCTTAACATCGTTCGTTGTTTCCAGGAAATATAAGTCAGTACAGTATATGTTTTTAACATTCTGGCCATCTCCCACCAAGGCAGTGACCTGAAAAATAAACACTTTCACCATCATTCACACTAACACTGTCTTGCCTGAGATGCACTGATACGACAGTTTGTATGTCGCTTTAAATAGGAAATATACTAAACCCCCTCCTTTAGAGTGCAGGCATTGTACCTCCCACCTCCAGGACTCAGGTCCGGCTAACTAGTTTCCCTGAATCCCTTCATAAAATATATTATGGCTTATTATGTACTGGATCCAGGGGCCCCCAGCAAATCAAGACATTGCAAATACAGTGGACCCCCGGATTTCGTAGTCGTTAGATTTCGTAATATTCAAAATATTGGCTTGGTGATCGTCATTGAGCTCGGTAATAGTCTTTCGTCCTTAACGCATCCATAAGGCAACAGCAGCCCGACACTCAGTGTGCCATTGTTTATCAGCCAGTGAGCACAATCCCACATGTTCATACGTTACATTTCATATTATTCCATTTTTTAGTGCTTGCAATTGCTAATTAAGCCACCATGGGCCCTAAGAAAGTTCCTAGTGGCAGCCAGCCCTTTGGTAAAGGGCTGAGAGAGAAGGGAGAATGTGCCTTCTTTAGTGATTCTGCGATATGTACCATACTAAAGCAGCAGAAGTCGATAAAAGTTATAGCGCCAGCCAGCAATAAAGTGTAACATTAACAGTGTAGCAAGTACGTTAACCGATTAATCAATAGAAAAAGGCAGCATGAAACTGACTCCTCCAATGTTGTTGAAGGTATATAAGGCCACTGAAAACACTGCCACCTCTTGCTGCTGCATTCACCACCACTATGTAAGGCTTATCTTTCAGTGGCTCTTATATGTACACCAAACAACAACAGCACACCATCACTCTTTGCCACATATGTAATAACATACAGTAGAGCCCCACTTATATGGTGGGTTAGGTTCCAGGCTATCGCTGGAAAGCAGACATCGCCAGAAAGCAGAATGCCATTTTTTCCATTTATAAATGTACGTATATAAATGCCAGACAACAAGTTTACACTAACTTATGACTCACGAAATCGTAATGACACGATTGCAAACAAACCATACCACGGACGGGAATAGAAACTGCGATCAGAGTGTCTCAAAACTCTAGACCTTTAGCTGGCCCAGTGGCTAATGTGACGATCTGGAGTTTTGAGACTCTGATCACAGGTTCTATCCCCGTCCGTGGTATGTTTTTTTTTTATACTAACTTATATTAAGTTAGTAATAGAACTAGGCATTAAAAACACAAAAAGTAAAATGCATACACAGCACAGTGGACCCCCGCCTTACAAACGCATCGCGTTACATTAAATCCCCCATACGAAGCATTTGAACGCAAAAATTTTGCCTTGCCTTACGTGATTCGTCCAAGACGCGTCCCATGTGTGGTCTCAGCGCCAGTGTTTACAAGCCAGCCAGTGCGGTCGCATCTACGCATACATTTGGTACATTTCACATTATCCCAGTGTTTTTAGTGCTTGTAACTGCAAAATAAGTCACCAAAGACCCCAAGAAAGCTTCTAGTGCCATCCCTGTGGTAAAAAGGGTGAGAATTAGTATGGAATTGAAAAAAGAGATTAAGGAAATGTGTGCAAAGTGGATTGAACTGCTAACCTTTAAGGATGAAAATCACCCTGACACAGCTACTGCAAGCCGTGTTGGCAACCTGTACAATGACAATGTTATGGCCCATTTTAGGAAAGTCTTAAAGGAATGGGAGGTACAGAGCTCTATGGACAGATTTGTTGTGCGACAGAGGTCCAGTGACTCTCAAGCTGGTCCTAGTGGTATTAAAAGAAGAAGGGAAGTAACCCCGGAAAAAGCCTTGCTACTTCAAGTCCTAATGGAAGGGGATTCCCCTTCTAAACAATAACTTCCACACACTTCTCTCCTCCCATCCCATCAATCATCACCAGATCTTCAATAAAGGTAAGTGTCATGTATTCTATTCTTAGTAGAGTAGTAATTGTGCATGTCTTCCTCAGTTTGTGTGTATTAAAATTAATATTTCATTTGGTAAAAAAAAAAAATTTTTTTTTGATACTTTGGAGTGTCAGGAACGGATTAATTTGATTTCCATTATTTCTTATGGGGAAAATTTATTTGGCTAACGATAATTTCGGCTTACGATAAGCTCTCAGGAACGGATTAATATCGTAAGGCGGGGATCCACTGTACATTCATTACTTATCTTAGAGTATTTGTAATCTTAATGTAGGGAGAGAGGTGAGCAGTACTTATTTGTAGGAAGTCAGGTGTAGGTAGCCCTGGCTCCCCGTCTCATACTTAACCATTTGACTTTCGGTCTTATATATACATCTTACGAGCCACCATGTTTGACATATGTATACTCATAAATTCTAGCGGCTTCAAATCAAGCAGGAGAAAGCTGGTAGGCCTACATGTGAGAGAATGGGTCTGTGTGGTCAGTGTGCACCATATAAAAAAAATCCTGGAGCATGCAGTGGATAATAATTAAAATGCCGAATTTCTGGTCTATTTTCGTATAGTGTTTATGGTTGTATTCTCGTTATATTGGTCTCATTTGATAGAATGGAAAACATATTATAGAAATAGAGGTGATTTTGATTGGTTTTACTATAAAAAGAACTGCAAATGGAGCTCAAAGTAGGGGAAATGTTTGAGTTCTGCCAATGTTCAAAAGTAAACAAATGCTGTCATTGTACAATAAATGTCCAACTAGCCATTCTAATATGCAGTCATGAATGGGTTGACATTATTTATACAATTATTAAAATATTGCAGTAGTCTGCATAACAGTAAATCTTCTATTTTTTTGTTTGAATAAAAATTCAAAATAGAAAGCAAGAGTAATATCAGGGGCCTGGAGACATAACTGATGAACAAAGAAAATGTTATTTTAGAACCAGGAATGTCTGCATTGTTCATTCTGGACCCTATTTTGAAATTGTCGTATTTTTTAATTTTCGTGAAATTGGCCAAATTGCTAATTTCTGACCATGTTATTTGGTAGTTGAAATCGATAAATGGGCAGTTTCTTGTACTCAGTCGATAGAAAAAATGAAGTTCTAAAGAAATAGCTACAAGGTTGGTCAACTGAAACAACAGAATTAGCTGAAAACTGGGCTCAAAGTGGGCAAAATCGCCGATTCGTAAATATCGCTGAGGTCGCTAACTTCGCAAGAGCATAATTCCATCAGTTTTCCATCAAATTTTATTCTTTTGGTGTCATTACCATCGGGAAAAGATTCTCTATCATTCCATAAGAAAAATTTTTTTTTTTTAATTTTTGCAACACCAGGAGACACCTCAGGATTTGGGGTTGTGACAGTCAAGGGGTTCATATGCAATATTTAAAACAGCCCAAAGTTAAAATACACATACAGTACACTCACTATTTACCTTAAAATATGTGTAGTCTTAATGTAGGAAGAGAGGTGAGTAGTATTTATTTGTAAGAAGTCAGTGTAGGTAGCCGAGAGGTGTAGCCCGCCTGGGCTACACCTACCGGCTACCTACACTGTGACCCAGAGCCATATTATTAGCATCAACATACCTTGTTCACTGAATTTGATAATTTCTAACAACTACCTTTAGATGCCATCATAAATGAAGGGAGAAGTAATGAATAATTCATGCCGAAAATTGTAAACAAAAGCGGAGTGGGGGAGTGGCTGGGCCAAACGCAGATTTATACACGTTTTCTCTGGTGGCTGAACAGAGAAAACGTAATGTTGTCCCTCCACCCGGCTACCACACAGGTCCACAAGTATTCTTATCAGAGCACATACAAAATATGCAATAAATGCCAGATAACAAGTTTACACTAACTTATATTAAGTTAGCAATAGAAATAGGCATTAAAAACACAGTAAAAGGTAAGATACACACTGAGTACACTTATTAGTTACCTTAAAATATTAATATTAATGTGTGAGAGGTGAGTGGCAGGGTGTTTATTGAATAAAAGGAGAATGGCACACCATCATCCTCTAACTTGGCATTCAAAGCAAGTCTTACGACTCCTCTTTTTATCACAGCTAAGCTTAGACGCCATCGTCAATGAGAGCCAACTAGTTAACGAAAGAGTAAACAAGAAAGAGAACGAGATACAGAGTTCAGACACTATAAGAACACAAACTGAACAGGTAGTGGGCGATCACTTTGTCAGGCGAAATAAATGCATATTAATATGTGTCTACTTTTAGTTCATTCACGTATGTTTGTAAGAGTTTGTAAAACATTTACCTCAATATTTTTTTTATTATACATAATAATAACTACCTCGCATTACAAATACTCTTACATTGTGTACAAGTTGTACAAGTTAGTACAGAATAAACTGACAGACAGCAACACACCATTTTTAGAGTGAATGAAGATATTATTATTATTATTTATTTTTTTTTTTTCAACAAGTCGGCCGTCTCCCACCGAGGCTGGGTGACCCAAAAAGAAAGAAAATCCCCGAAAAGAAAATACTTTCATCATCATTCAACACTTTCACCTCACTCACACATAGTCACTGTTTTTGCAGAGGTGCTCAGAACACAACAGTTTAGAAGCATATACGTATAAAGATACACAACATATCCCTCCTAACTGCTAATATCCCAAAACCCCTCCTTTAGAGTGCAGGCATTTCTTCCCATTTCCAGGACTCAAGTCCGGCTATATAAAAATAACCGGTTTCTCTGAAGCCCTTCACTAAATATTACCCTGCTCACACTCCAACAGATCGTCAGGTCCCAAATACCATTCGTCTCCGTTCACTCCTATCAAACACGCTCGTTCACGCCTGCTGGAAGTCCAAGACCCTCGCCCACAAAACCTCCCTTACCCCTTCGCTCGCCCCTTTGTTCGCTTGAACATTAGCTGAATTG